TTTAAAAATATAGTTTACTCAATATTATTAAAATTTAAAATTTAAAAGAAATATAAGATAAAAATTTAATCATTTTCTGTTGAAGGGACAATTTATACGTAGTCATATATATTGATGTATACTCATACACAACTCGTAAACTTATAAATCTATAATATAAAAAATTGTATAAAAAATATTTTAAATATTAAAAATTTATTTATTTATATTTTTAATAATATATATTAATTTTTTTATTATATTATCAGACCTAATAGACTTTTCTATAAGTATAAACTTATCTTTTTATATAAATAGACTTTTTTGAAGGTTTAAACTTGATTTTTTTATTAAACAGATTAGACAAAATCAAACTTTAAAGAGACTAGGCCATAAACTCTTATTTAAAATCTGACTTATTTTCATCCCTATTTATGAATTAGTCAGATGAAGATTCAAATTTAGCTTGACGTTTGTTAAATGAAGGAGTCTTCCAAATTTTATTTTTGCATGAAATTAGTTTAGATTTCATGTAATTTTATTTATTTATTTCTATTCATTAATATATAAAAAAATCTCATTCTAATATTTTTTTAAAAACAAAAGTCAAATAAAATATTTTATTTTATTATTATGATGTGATATAAAATATCTATTATTAAAAATAATAATTAATTTTTATTAAAAACCGTGTATATAGTACAGATATTTTTCTTTTCAAATAGACTATTTCATATGTAAAATAGTCAAATATGAAACAAAATGTGAGGAAAAAAATGAAATGTACCCATTTAGCTTCAAACAGAGACTTCCAGTAAGTCGTCAACTGATGTATAATGGATCTAGAAGCTTAAGGCTAGAAAGATACTTTTTTCGTTTTAAATACATCAGTTTACGAATGTTATTAAATGATGATGGATCCGTTCAATGTTCAATTCTAACCTGATATAATACTAAGAATTCCCTCCATATTTTACTTTGACAAAATATCTACGGCTTTTTGACCAAAGTGGGTTCGTTGACCAAGTTATTTATCATAATATATCAACATATATTATAGTTATTGTGTAGGTAAAAGTAATTTTTAATGACATCTATTGTTCCGGCGTAAGAACACTCTTCTTCTTGATCCTTCCTAGTTGCCTTCAAGTCCTTCTGAATCTTCCGTATTGACCAAACACTAGCTCCACGTGGTGGGGGAGGGTACCTGCACAGGCACTCCGACGATCAAGTCAGTGTTCGGTTTAGAGCAATAAATGCATTAGCGGGAATAGTCGCGTACCTCATTTATGTCACACCACCTGTATATTTATAGTGACATATGTGGGCCTGCTGGGCCTTCATCCTTGGGAAATGGGTAATACATGACTTAACCTTAATCCTGTCTTAATCTGGTATGGTAATTAATGCAAAGTAGGCAGTTGGTTTGCCACGTGTTTATCATAGGCTCTTTCTTCAGGTTCTCGGCCAAGCGTGGGGCCGAAGGGGTGTTCGGCCAAGCTTGGGGCCGAAGGGGTGTTTTGAATAGCTTCAGATCCCTTCTCTTTGGGTTTTTGGCTACTCACGAGATCGAGGGAGTGTTCGGCCAAGCTTGGGGCCGAAGGGGTGTTCGGCCAAGCTTGGGGCCGAAGGAGTGTTTCATTCGGCTAGGGCATTCCTTTCGGGCTATTTCCTGACCTGAGGGGGCAGTTGGTGTGGCTCCTTGGTTCGGGCCCCCCTCTCGGCCTATTGTCCGACCGAAGGGGTGCCAACTGGTGCGTTTCATTAGTTTGGGCGCCCCTTTCGGCCTTTTGCATGACCGAAAGGGTGCCTACTAGTACACTACCCCCCCAAGCCCAAGGATGAAAGACGAAGGGTTGTTACACTTAGAGAGGCTCGGGGTGATTTAGGGTTTAGAACGTAGGGGGGTGTGCATTTTTGGGAGTTGTGTCGTCTAGATAGTGACCGTTGCATGCTACCGTCGCCTTTGGGTTTCGTGCCTAGGGTTGTGTCCTTTGGCGCTCAGGTGCATTTATTGTGAGCCTTTTGGGTGGCCTCGACTAGTCTATATAAGGTGTTGAAGTGGGGCTTCATTTTTCAAGCTTTCTCTACACGGCCTCTGTACATTTTCTTCACTGAGCCGAATACTCCCAAAAGGTTGGTTTTTGTTTTTTATCTATTGTGTGATAATGGCCACCGAAGGTGTCACCTTGTCGTCAGGGTCCTCGGCCAGCGATGGGGGTTCGGCCCAAAATGTGGACGCCGAGATGCTAGCATTTAACGCCGAAGTAGAGATAGTTGAGGGTCCCATTGGGTCGGGGCCAGAGCGTAGTGGGGAATCGGGGAGTTCCACTGGGTCGGAATTACCCGATGCCGAGATGAGCCCTGGGGATTACAGGCAGAAATACCCTCCTTGCGAGATCCCCGGGTACGATTGGGTCGATGGTGAGGTGGCGGCCTATTTCTCTCGTTTTCATGAGAGGGACGCCGTGATACGCCTTCTTAGTCTGTGCACGATGGGCCGATGGGAAGGTTGGGACCCCTATCATATCATGCTGCGTCGATGCCGGGCCGAAGGCCCTGGGGAGCTCGATCTGGTTTTCCTTGCGAAGCGGGAAGGTCAGGGGGATTTCTTTTATATGTACGAGTGTTTCTTTCGGGAACTGGGGGGCATTCCTTTCGGTCTATTTCCTGACCTGAGGGGGCAGTTGGTGTGGCTCCTTGGTTCGGGCCCCCCTCTCGGCCCATTGTCCGACCGAAGGGGTGCCAACTGGTGCGTTTCATTAGTTTGGGCGCCCCTTTCGGCCTTTTGCATGACCGAAAGGGTGCCTACTAGTACACTACCCCCCCAAGCCCAAGGATTCCAAACAAAATAAGTTAATAACTAAAATAAAAAATAAAAATTAATTAGTGGCGCTGTGGGCCATAGCGACTCTGTGTCACTATAGGCCACAGCGCCACTTAGATAAATAATTAAATCTATTTTTTAAAATTATGTTTTTAAATAAATATTTTTTTTATAAATATATAATAAGTATACTCAGTTGATTATTTTAAGGTTACATTTAAATTATTTCAGTTTTTTTCGTTTTTTTTCTTAAATGGTGTCGCTATGGGCTACACCAGCTTTGTTGGCTCACAAACTGTGTTGGTCCAGCCCATAGCGACACTGTTGTGGCTCATTCCAGCCATCCGTACGCCAAAAAAAAAAAAGCCACGTGGCATGGGTGTCGCTATGGACCATAGCGACACCGTTGTAAACAATCCCAAAGGCGTAAATAAATTCAAAACAGCCTCATTTATGTAAATAACTTGGTCAACGACCCCACTTTGGTAAAAAGCCAATATCTATCCGATGGATAAATTGAAAGTCAAAAATCAAAGACGATAAGTCAGTTGCCTGGAAATTTGTGATTCGCATATTATTATATTATTTGGAGGGATGATTAGCTTGTGTTTGATATATATATAAATAGATTACTTTTATTTCTGAAACATGATGATTAGTGAGAATATATTTTAACTGCACAAGTTGGATTTAGTTATTTATTTATTATTTATAATCAAATCCTTATTTCATCTCAATTCTATCTATTGTTTAATTAATTAATTTACTCAGAATATAAAGACATTATTATTCTTATTCATTTTTTTTTAAATCACAAGTATTCTATAAGGGAGATCAATACTTTGAATTAGGAAATACAACTACATTTTTAGGACTCTATATCTGATAAATTAATTAAATTTGACTATATATATATACATAATAAATCAACATAAATTTGACTAGATTTGTTCCTAAAGTGGTGAATAGGGGTTCTTATTCTTCTCTTGAGAAGAAAAGTATGAGAGTATAAAAGGAGAAAAACAAAAACAAACACATTTACAATTGATCATGCATGATGTTGCCAGGAAAAGTCAATGAGAAAATATCGAGTTAGAATTCTCTCTCGTGCCACTCCAGCGGAATTAATTTTTCTATATCCAAAAAATAATAATAAAATTCTCTTTTATGTGTGATAGCTATGCAAAGACTAATTAAACAATTCATATTATCTTGGACAGGAGAAGACCTGAAGATTAAGAGGGGAAATATAGATTGTTAGACAAACGATATATTGTGCAGAAAGAATCTCAAATGTGTTTTTGGGTCTAAGAAACTGCACGTTTATAATCATGATTATCTATTTTAATAACGCATATATATAATAATTGTGATGATTTTGTCTTGTGTATAAATAAATAAGTATTGACATAAGATTTTGTTAAATTGGTAATATATATATATATATATAGTTATAATATTAATATAAATATAATAAATTGTAACAAAAAATATTGCTTTTTTTTTTTATTCAGAAAATCTTTCTCATTTTGTTATTTTAGTAACATTAAATATCCTTGTTATCTTTTATTACTTTGGTTTTTATCCATGAACATCTTCTATTAATTTTTAATACAACATATCATCAAAGTATTATAAAATAAAATATTTCTTTTACTAAAATAAAAAATAACTTTAAATTTTATGCATTCTCTCAAATAAACTAATTAAAGATTAATTATTAATAAAGTAGGTGAATATTTCGTAGGAATGATACTAATTGGAAATTATATTAAAAATAGTTATAAAAATCAATAAAGTTACCTTATATAACATTAATATATATCATATTATATATATATATATATATAATATAAATGTATAAACAAGTTTTACACCATAAGTATATTCTAATTAAATTGAATAAAAAGAATTGGTATATATGGTGACCTAATCATACGTGAGGAGGCGATTTGTATAATGTGAAGTGAGATATAGAATATGCATTTAACAAATAATTCATTTGAGTAGTTTAATTATATGAACTGACGTAGCCCTTAGCAATGCAATTTATAATAGCATTGCATTTTTTTCAGGTTGGTTCTCCCTTGTTATATATATATATATATAGCCACCGCCACTGTCCGAAGCCGAAGCCGAAGCCAAGTCAATTTATATATATTGCTTCCTTAAATCCCAATAATGCATGTAACGTCTTACCCTATATATATTTATATATAGCCACCCACCATATACATATATATTACCATCATTCTAGCTTAGTTGTCTCTTTTTCATTGACACACTCTCACACATGGAACCTGAGCAGTATCTTCCTTCTTCTCTCTGCCTAACCAGGTAAGCATGTATGTGTAAAGAAATTATTATATGGTTTAAAATTATGGGTCTCAAACACAGACCCATAATTTTTCTAGACCATGTAATAATTTATATATCGTATGTGTCATGTGATATGTTGTTTTCTTCCTTACGTGGGTAGTTGATGAATGAATGAAGGTGGTGGTCGAAGGAGACGGTGGCGGTGGTGACCGGAGGGAATAAGGGAATAGGGTTTGCATTTGTGAAGCGTTTTGCGGAATTGGGAGTGAGTGTGGTGCTGACTGCTAGAGATAGCCAAAGAGGGGAGGCTGCAATGGAGATTCTCAAACAACAAGGCCTTGCTCCTTACGTTCACTTTCTACTACTCGATGTTGCTGATCCACTTTCTATCTCAGCCTTTGCATCCTCCTTCCAAGCCAAATTTGGAGCCACCTTGGATATTCTTGTACGTATTAATTCAATCTTCACCATCACTTTTATTGATTCTTTATCATAAGCTTTTATTAGTTGGAATCAATTTGACCATCATGAACGGTTTGTTTCTCTTTCTAAGTTTTCAAGGATTAACATCTTGACTTTGAATATGAAAGTTCATTTTGGGAGAAAAATGCTTATGTGTATACTTATCGTACCTATCAAAGGGTAGACTAGTAATCTTTTTGTAATTTGAAAGTCGAACGAGAATTTCGAGCAAATATTTTGATAGAGGAGGTACATGTAAATGACACTCACACTTATCTTGACTTGAGTATTGGAGTGCCTTTTACAGGTACCTCCCTCCACTGAAATATTTACTTGAAACTCTCGTTCAACCTTCAAATTACAAAAAGATTACTAGTGTACTCTCTCAGGTACATTTATTGTTTCAACAAAAATTTAGTTAAATATTTCATAGCTCACGTCAATACTATAGTTAATGAAAAAAATTGACTATGATTAATGATTGTAATTATCTCAGGTGAACAATGCGGGGGTATCATACAATGAGGTGGAAGAAAACTCGAACTCGGTGGAGCATGCGGAAAGCGTGATGAAGACAAACTTCTACGGTCCCAAGTTGCTGATTGAGGCTCTCTTTCCTCTCTTTCGTTGCTCTTCTTCTGTCACCCGTGTTGTCAACGTTAGCTCAAGGCTTGGCTCTCTAAATGTACATTTTTTTTCTTTTATTCATTTATTTTCTTTAAAATATAGGAGATCTCATAGAGTACAAATAAGAAAAAAAAATATAATTCGATATAAGTGGAGAACAATTCTCATCTTATAATATATTTTATATGTATTGCAGAAGATAAGAAATGCAGAGATAAAAAAGGTGTTGGAACGGGAGGAGTTGTCTGAGGTAGAGATCGAGGGGGTGGTGGAGATGTTCCTGGGAGATGTGAGAAACGGAACGTGGGAGAGGCGGGGTTGGCCGTCGTATTGGACGGACTACGCGGTGTCGAAGCTGGCTTTGAATGCTTACTCGAGGGTGTTGGCCAAGAGATACTCGTTTGAAGGAAGTGGATTGAGTGTGAACTGTTTTTGCCCTGGTTTCACTCAAACCTCCATGACTAAGGGAAAGGGCACCCACACCGCCGACCACGCCGCCGCCGTCGCCGCCACCCTTGCCTTGCTGCCACCGCATCTCTTGCCCACCGGGAAGTTTTTTTCCCTCCGAAACACCACCACCTTCATCAATGTTGCTTCTAAATTATGATAAATAATGTGTTTGGAAACTAATTCAATTCTATACTATACTATGAGGTTGAAAAAAAAAAAATAACTCGCAAGTTTTTACTTTATGCATTACAAATTCTTTTTTGAAAGTGATTTTAAATTAGTATTCAATCATACACGATATCATATAAAATCAAGCTACCTATAAGTTCAACTATTTTATACAAATCGTACAATCCTTCTTTAGTAAGGTATGGAATCATTGTGATGACGATAAAGTTCTCTTGAAAATATTTAACGGGAGGTATATATACTTCAACTATATATATTTTTTTATATTATCACTAGTTGATTAATCAATTATTAAATGTTTACGATTGTAACACACTGCTTTTTTCTTTTTTGACTTGTAAGCGGATATATAGTAGCATTAAAGAAAAACTTGTGTACATGGAGTTGCACCAAGTCGATTCCATTTCGTGAGGAGTTTCCTCTAAAAAGTAGTACGTATCAAGGTAAATTGTGTATTCCTCGTGGCTAATTAATCGGCACTAATCAAGCATATCATGGAAATGGCTAAAAATTTCTTGGTAGAGTTTGGATCCTTTTAACATTTTTATCTAAAATAAAAGAGAAACTAGGTATATGCACTTAGGCATAGCCATTAAACTCTAAATAAAATTTAATTGTTCACTAAAGTTATATTAAAAAGACAAAAGGACGACGTCATTCAATATTTATATGCTTAGGTAATAAAATGCTTATAGTGCTCCTTAATGGTAATTCAAGACAATTGTTAAAAGAACTCTAATCAATAATGAATTATATAATTAACGGTCCAGTTAGTAAGAAATATATAAATCTATTTAAAAAAAAATGGATTTGATAATTGTCTTAACCTTGACAAGTTTTCGAAACTCACATCACCCAAACTTTTTTACATACAAAAAAAATAATGAGTTAAATATCCTCATCATATTCTTATTCTTATATCATAATTTTAAATTGTTAAAATCACTTTTTAAGAGATATTCTCATTTCTATTAAAAGAGAGAGATATTCTCATTAATTAAGTATGTTTTTACTGTTTATAATTATTTAATTCTTTTTAATACTAGTTTTATTTTAATTTGATTTAAGTGTTAAATTTCGGTACTGTGTTAATTAATTTGAAGATATTTTTTTTTATTTTAGTCAATTATCAGTTATGTCCCATTTAATTGATAGTATACATCAATTTATATATATATATATATATAATTCTAAATAAAAATATGAATAAGTACTATATATATATACACAAATTGCTCATTAGTATTAACTTAGAATACTGTATAAACCATGTTAATAGAAAAAAAAGTATTATATACATAAATAGATTTAGATAATATGTGTCACATTCAACAAAGTTTGGATATGACGCGTTATGTCCATAGAAATTCAGATATGACGTATCACTTTCAAAAAAATTTAATTTGGATATCATGTATCAGCATATGATGCTATTATTCCCAATTAAATCTGTCACTTATGATAAAATAAATAAAATTAAAAATCGTATCAAGAAATAATCAATCAATATTAATCATAATATATTTTGTCAAAATTAATATTTATGATATACAATTCTCATTTTTAATTTATGATTATAAATTTACTATAATAATTATATGATTAGAATATCTAAAATATATATAAATAATTAAATTAATATATATACTAATTAAAAATAATTAAGGTAAATTTTGATTGATGTATAAATCATATTACGAAAGCATTAATTAAAATTAATCATAATATATTTTTTGATGATTAATATTTATAGCATACAAAATCATTTCCATTTTCATTTTTAGATTATAAAATATATTTTTCGATAACTACTTAAAAAAAATTATATTGAATTATAAAAAAATTATATAAAAATGTTTATAAATAAAATTTGACAAAATATTATTTAAGTTAATTAAAGTAATCAATTGTAACACTATAAATTTTAATCATGTATGTTGATTTTATTGATTAAATTGTTCAGTGAATTTTTAAGGGTTAAGAAAATCTTATGAATTTTTATTATTTAAAAGTTGTTTTGAGTTGAGGTCAAATTGATCAACTAGAAGAGGATATATAAGATTTTTTTTAAGACGTGGACTTCATAAGTTTAAAAATCATAGAGAAGTAAAAGTGAGAATGAGTTTTAGAGCCAAAATTTCTTTCTGCTTCTCCTGAGTCCTCAAGTAGTGGTGGTGATGTTGTATATGGGGTTAGCTGAGAGACATTATTTTCTTCTCCTCCCTAATTCTAGGTGATTCAGAGGTAATGGGGGCTTGTATGTTGATTTTGTTGTAGACTGTGAGTTGTATACTACTTGAGTTCATTGAAATTGTGATTGTCTTGATTGTGAGGTGAAACTCTTATGTTTGGGTTTTTAGTTTTCTTGAACATGTTGAGGAGAAATTGGTGATTTTTAGTCATATGTTGGTTTTATGTTGTTGTTCTAGTTGGAATTGAGTTGATTATGATGTGTATATGTGATTTTTGGCATTACATGTTGGTAATTTTTGAGTTTTAGGTGGATTGAACCAAAAACGTGAATTTGTCAAGTGTAAAATTCATTATTACGTCAAACGTAACTTCATAGCATTGGGCATGATGCAGGCTAGAGACTCTATGCCTCACTCATGCTAGGCGTGGGATTGGTGATGACATCATGCCAAGGGTTTAAGTCCTAACAAAGTCAAGATGAGTGAGCTAGGTTTAAAGGAAGAAGACTTAAACTTTTATTGAACTGAGTCATTTTTACTAGTTTACTTTCTCTTCTTTGTTAATATTTTCTTAACTTTAATCTTTTATTTTTGCGTCAAGTAGTGTAGAAATTTATTTCTTTGACATTAGTATTTTTAGGGTGCAATCAATATTTTGGGAAAGGTGTAACTAGAAAAGGAGTTTTGGACTTATTGGGCTTGAATGGCCTATGAGAGCATCTCTTAGTTGCATTGACTTTGAAGTTAGTCATCCACTTGTGTGGGAGACAAAGTGGTAGAAATCCACTTGTGTGAGAGCAAGTGGTTAGATGTCAACATCAAAGGGGAGGCAAGATGTCTTATAGTTCATTCAAGACTCCAAAAACTCACATGACCTCATCTAGTCACACATTTGGTATCTTGCCATATGGCAAGCTCCCATTGGTTCTTTTAGTCTTAAGATAGAGACATTCCAACCATGTAAATAGAGTTGGTTACCTTGAATACAAGTTAACTAACCTTGGTTACACTTAATCAAGGTTAGTCTAGCTTGCATAATAAGCTAACCAAACTCTATATATACTTTTACCTTCCATGTAACAGATCACTTTCAAACATTTTATGAGAAATAACATTGATTTTTCTTTTCTAAAACTCTAGTGCTCTCTCTTGGAGAAACTTTCTCCTTATGATCTTTTATTAAGGAGTTCCTTCTTGTGACAAGTTCTTCACATTCTTGCTTATCTTCACTTGAAGTAACGCATACCTTTTCCTTCCTCCTTCGCCTTTGTTGATTTTCTTTAAAACTTTCAAGTCCATGGAAAAAATTGAGAGAACATTGAGACTAGTTGAAAAGAAACATCAACATTTAGACATTGGTTGTTACTTCAAATGCAAGTTGTGTGGTGCTAGCGCGTGAGTCAGGTAGAAGTTCACTGCTTGAATGAGGTCAAGCTTGAGTTTAGCCACACTAGGCATGACTAACATAAGAGCTCTTTGCCTAATCCAAATTAGACATAGGTGAAATGGAGTCAAGTATGGGCGAGTTATTAAAGACTCTCTATCTCAATGACGTTAGGGAGAATGGTGCTGGGCGTGGGTTACCAAATGAAAATGTGTTGTTTATTTGACCAAGTGTTGAACATGTGTATAATAAATTGAATTCCTCACATGAATTATGTTGTTATGAGATTCTAGTTCATTATGCATTAATCTACTATATGATGATGTTGAGTTGTTTAGGTTACAAGTTGATTATGAGTGAAAGTTGAACAATAGTAGAGTTGTATGAAGTGTAGTGTTGAAAGTAGTTGTGTTGTAAATTCTTAAAGAATGGAGTTGAGTTGTGTTAATTGACTTAGGACTAAAGGGGAGATATTGTTTTAAAGGTGAATATCCTATTGTGAGGATATGACATTGTGGTGCTTTGTGAGCCCAGTTGTTGAAAAACTCTTCTTGAGAATAGTTGTCTCTTGAAGTGGAGTGTTGAGTCTCCTTTAGATCCTTAGTTAATATAATATGGTATTCAAGTCGAGCCATATTGATTATAAAGTGACCAATGTAAAACTATATGGGGGCAAGGTTGAGCCAAACGTGTATGAAATGATCAACCGAGTAAGGTACAAGGTCAGACACCAAAATCCTTAACTAATTACTAGAAAGGGCACAATATCTGGAAGACATCTGACAAACTAATTCCATATAGACTTAGTTAGGCATGATAAAGTTGTGATATACTCACACCCAAATTGTTCTGTCCCTAACAAGAATACTATATTTTCCTAGTTTAAGTGGTAAAATCTAAGAAATAATGTTGTGTTGTGAATTTTTATCCAAATTTATTGTTAATCTGACAAGCTCAAAAGAATTACGTGGTTAAGTTAGTTTGATGGGATCAAACCACTTAGATTGTTCACCTATGTAATTAGAGATCTCTTAGTTGAAATGCGTGACAACTTAGCATGTTGTTTTGTGTTGATATGTGTTTAAAGTTGATATGTGTTGCTATGTTGCATTATTGTTTAAGTAGTGTTGTTAAATAACTATGTTGTGAACTATTGTGTTGAATAACATGTTGTGTTGAATAGTTGTATTATTGATACACTAAATTAGATATGTTGCTTAGCTGGAAAGGTATATATGTTAAAAGTTGATGTTTTTGTTTAGTTAATTTAATACTTCTATACTATGTTGTTTCTTTTGAATCCAAGTTTATCTTTACATTTTTCTTATGGTTGAATTATGATGATCATACTTGTTATAAAAGTAGGGTATGAATATGCTAGAGGTTGTGCGCATCTTATGAGCCATGCTAGAGGATGACGAGATTGTTTTTGAACTACTATAGTGTTAGA